GGGTTGGGATGATGACATGCAATAATACCTCCAAAAATGTACGTGGCTTGTTACATGTGGCCCCCAAGATTCCTGTATTTCTCCCAACTTCAAGATGCCCCTGAGACCTAATTTCTGAATGAAAGTGCAGAATGCTGGCCGCCTCCACGTGGCCGCTTCTTAAACAAGGCTAGCTGTTAAAATGTTAGTGGCTAAAAATCCGTGCCAATTTTTTGCATGGCTGTAAAGTATGTGACTTAAGGTTTAATTAATCAGACTCCTCACCCCCATTGTTGTTGCTGGTATTAGTTGCCGCCGACTCAATTTTGACTCATGGTGACCCTTTGTGTTACAGAATAGACCTGCACGTAGGGTTTCCTTGGCTGTAATCTTTACGGAGGCAGAGGCAGATCACTCGGTCTTTCTCTCCCATAGGACTCAAGTAAATGATTTTCATTTTGGCTGTTAAAAAAAAAGGGCAAGGGGACAGCTGTAAACATTTTCCCAAAGTTGGTCCAAATATAAAAACGTGCCTAGTCAGACACCCATTTTACATCTGAGAGAGCAGAGGCCCAGACAGGCTGGGAGAATGTTCCAAGGTTGCACAAAGAGCGTAGTTGCTGAGCCAGTAAAGCCCTGTTTTGTTTTGTTTTTTCTTCTCATCTCACTTGGCTTGGGTTCTCCTGCAGAAGTTTCAGCAGTACCATTGACGGCCATAGTTCATGGGGAGGTGCTTCAACCACCTTGCTGTAGTGTGGGCTCCCCCAAAAGCAGATCTGGAGGTGAATATTGAGGTGTAAGTCATTGAGCTGGGAGGTGACCCCAGAGAGCACTGTGAGGGAGGAGGAAGTGAGACTGGGAAGGGAAGACAACAGTTAAGGGCTGGTTAACGAGCAGGTTAGTGCTTTGGGTAACTGGCACTTGGTCCCTCTGGGGTCCCTTTAGAGACCATGTAGCACACGCCTCAGAATTGACTTCCTGAGGGCATGAGGAAGCTGGGTAGTTGTCCTCCAACTACCTTGGAGTTGTCTTCCAACACTTGCCCTTTACTGGTGAGAACTGCACCTGGGCTGTTGGCTCTTTGGATGTCCAGTGGCCCTGTCCAAGGACCAAGCCTGCTTACTTCCGACCCCCGGCTGGGGAATGCTCTAGGGATATATGTAGCAGAGGTTGCCTGCAGTGGAGCTCTGGACTGGGGCACTGGCAGCGTCTGCCTCACATCCGGGTAAGTGCCATTACTTCTCAGGGCCCTTGGATTGCTCAGAGCTGTCCTCCTCCTCCCCTTGGATGAGCAGTGTTGTTGTGACATGTTCAGAGGGCCCCAGTGGGATCCAACTTGGTAAGAACATGGTCTGCCTACAATCAGCCCCAGTGTGCACTACCCCCTGCCCAGGGCTGGCTGACTCCAGTGAACTGGAGGACCACCTTAGAGACCCCAGCTGAAGAAAGGAAAGTACACAGTGCTTTAGTGG